ATGATAATGTGATAAATCTGCCTTAGCTTTGATGCTTTTTCATTAATTCAATTCTGATAGTAAACCATGGCAGCTCTTCTACTTCTATCCCATCAGCCATTTCCATCACCTTCTGTAAAAGGTGCATGAAACCCCAAGTATGGGCTCTTCTGAGCACAGGATCCTGTGCAGCTGTATTTGTTGCATGGCCATGAAGCTGGCCATGAGTGGCTATTTCTGCCTCTGCCACACAACTTGAAATGCCCTATTTACCATATAGTATAGTTTATCTGGGAATTTGGACTTATTTATTGACATTCTTTAAAAAAGAAAAGACTATGGGAGCATTGGTATGCATGAGTCCCTTAATTTTTACAGAACACAAAACTTTTTTTCTCTTTGTAAATTATTTAATACATTGGACATTTAAACAAATGTTCAGAGAAAAAAGATGTTCCCCCAAACAAGACCCAAAACAACATGCACACCGGGACAGTTGGTCACCCTACATCTCTGAGCCATGCCAGACCTCAGAGTGGGCTCCACGTTACGGGAAGGATGAGAACAATCATCTTGTCAGGGTTCACAGGTGGTGTGTCTTTTTAATTTTTTTAACTTTTTATTATTTTTTTAAGACAGAGTCTCGCTTTGTTGCTCAGGTTAGAGTGAGTGCCGTAGCGTCAGCCTAGCTCACAGCAACCTCAAACTCCTGGGCTCAAGCGATCCTACTGCCTCAGCCTCCCAAGTAGCTGGAACTACAGGCATGTGACACCATGCCCGGCTAATTTTTTCTATTTATGTTAGTTGCCTAATTAATTTCTATTTTTAGTAGAGACGGGGGTCTCGCTCTTGCTCAGGCTGGTTTCAAACTCCTGACCTTGAGCAATTAGTCCGCCTCGGCCTCCACAGAGTGCTAGGATTACAGGCGTGAGCCACGGCGCCCAGCCAGGTGGTGTGTCTTGAAAGGATGCAGTGGGGGAATGCAGCTGGTTTTGGGTGGTCTCGAGAGCCCACAGGAAAATACACTTGAAGAATGTATATTTTCCATCTCCTTTCCATATCCAACCTCAAAGTGTAGGAAAGGCCCTGTCTGAATGGAAGACTTTAGAAGGAGGCAAAGGAACCCGAATAACTTTACCCCAGAATCATGCAGTTTTCTTCAGAAATCAGGTCATGACAAAGACCCCCACGAGGGGGCAGCATCGGCTTATTTCCAGCCCTCAGCTCGGCACTGAAACTTGGTTTTGGGATGGTTGCGGGAGTTGCCGCTGGTTGGGGAAAAGTGTACCTTTGTGGCCCTTTCATACATATTTTCCTCCCAAACTCATTCTTAGAGATAGGTTGTGTTTTATCCAGTTTATTCACAAGGACACGAAACTGCAATTTGAAAAATAGGTTTTTGGGATTCCCAGCCTGATAACTGCTCCTTGGCACCCCTACTCCTGCAGACTCACTCCTTCCCTTGTTTGTTCACTCAGACATGTACTTGGATAAGGTGCTACAGAGACAAGGATGTCCTCAGCCACTTCCTAGGTGAGCTCCATCCATCCGCCTACCCTGCCTTCCTCCAGAGCATGGACTGTTATGGGAGAAAGGATCTGGAATCATCTGAGCCTCCTATAACATGCTGAAGTTCCCATGGGGGACGTGGCTTTTCCAAGCCAGTCAACTAGGGAAGGACAGGCCTCAACACCCTGACCCTCAGCCCAGTGTTTCAGCATGCCAGGCCTTGAGGGGGGCCTCCCTTTCCAGTGTCATCTCTATCCCTGGCCCCTATTTTTCTCCTCCAAGAAGTTCCTACTTCCCAATAAAGGCCTGAGAGGTCTATACTACTCAGACACTGCCTAGAAGTGCAGGTTTTATAGGCATTCTTGGCCAACCTAGTATCAATAGGATGCCCAAGGACCCCATACTGGGAAACTCTCAGGCTGAGGGTGGAGGTTTGGTTCTCATACTCAGGGAACCCCTTGAGTATATTTCATCATTCCACCATGCATTCATTAATTCCTGCAAGACTTCCTGACTGTCTATGGTGTGCCAGGCATGGTGCTGGGCACTGTGGAGCTACACATGAGAAGAACCAACTCCTGCCCTGATGGTTTAGTCAAGTGGGGGAGACAGCTCTGAGGAAGGATGACAGAAGCAGCTGGAATTTGATCCAGGTGGTGGGGGAGACAGAGGACCTAGTCTGTCCCAGCTAGTCTGTCCCTCTGGACCACTTACCTGACTCCTTGTCACTTAAACCTTGCTCTAATGTCATCTCTTTGAGAAGTCCTCCTGAGGACTCATCCCCCAGTCTAAATTAGTTCTCCCCCCAGTCACTCTCTAGCACATCTCCTTGTATTTTCCTTCACGGCCTGTATCACCAACTGAAATTATCTTTATTCACTGCCTGTGTCTCCCCAATCCCCATTACAATGTATACCCCATGAGGGCACGTCCTTATCCATTTCACTCAGGGCTGTATCCCAAGAACCTACAGTTGTGTCTAGCACCTAGCAGGTACTCCATATATGATTGTTCAATGTATTCGAATGTTCTCTGCTGGGGCCCCCTTTTCTTTTAACCCCTCCCTTGCCCCACCTCCTCTTTCCCATTTGTTCATCAACACCTTTCCTGGCAAACATGAAAGATGAAGGGTGGGGTGGGATTGTCAGTTTCATTTCCTTTATCAGATAAGTGACAATTTCTATCTTGGGTGTGAATCCCAAGAGATATTATAGGAGAAATGTTAAAGAAGCTTCAAAATTGTGGAAGAAATAAGACAATCTGTATGTTTTTAGTTTCTATGTCTTTTCAGTTTCACAGCCGTTATAAAAGTTGTTCAAAGTCAGGTTTTGGACAATTTCTAGCTGGATGACTCCGGGCAAATTACCTAATCTTACTATGCTTCAATTTCTTCTTCGACTTCTTTTCTTTTTTTTTGAGACAGAGTCTTGCCCTGTCACCCTGGGTAGAGTGCAGTGGCATCATCACAGCTCACTGTAACCTCCAACTCCTGGGCTCAAGTGATCCTCCTACCTCAGCCTCCTGAGTAGCTTAGACTACAGGCACATGCCACAGCACTCAGCTAAGTTTTCTATTTTTAGTAGAGACAGGGTCTTGCTCTTGCCCAGGCTGGTCTTGGACTCCTGAACTCAAGCAATCCTCCTGCCTCGGCCTCCCAGAGTGCTAGGATTACAGCTGTGAGCCACTGCGCCTAGTCCCCAGTTTCTTCTTTTTAGACTAACCCTCCTTACTTCATGAGCTTGAGTTATGTATTAAAAAAGGACAATTATGCAAAGTTCCTAGACCAGAGCCTGGCATGCAGTGGCTACTCAACAGGGGTAGTGGTTCCCAAACCCTCAATCTGCTCATCTTCCCCTCTCTAACTTCACCATGCTGAGCTCCACTTCTGTGCCTGAGCTGCTGCTGCAATCTGTCACCCACTCCCCCACAATCTGGGTGTAACAAACTAATTTCCTAAGGTCTTGATCTTAGACTAATTTCCTAAGATCTTCAGAGAAAGGGGAGGCTCCCTGCAATGCTGGGGAAACCAGGTGGCTGGTTTTTAGCCGGGAGGGAAAGAAGGTGTTGGCAAGGCATGCTGGTGCCAAACAGATGGGAAGCTTATTTATCAGCACTTGATTGAGGCGGGTGGGCAGGAAAGGGCTGGGCCCTGCTGTCTGGCACTGACTTCTCTTTGCCTTTTTCAGATCCCTCTCACCCACAGCCTTTAAAAAGGTTAACATTGGATTATATAATAAATAAAATAATCCAGACTCTGGAGAAAAATAGAAATATTAGAGTTACAATTCCATTCTCCTTTGATTCCTCCCTCCAATTCTACCTCCCTCTCTGCAGGTAATCACTATTGTCCTTTTGGTCACACTGCCCCTTTGTGACATCTCCTCCCCTTCAGGGCTGTGCAGACTGCAGTGGCTGGGGAGATGCCACCCAGTCCTGTGTCCCTCCTAATCGGTCCTACACAAGGCTAATAAACTTTTAGAAACATTTCCAGAAGCTTCCGGTTGACACTCTCTCTCCTTTCTCTGAAGTCCTACAAGTGCTTGTCTCACAATTTACAAAGGCCCAATACATATGGTGTCCCATTCTGTCACTGTGTTTCCTGTCAGTGTTCAGTTTCCTCTCTTGAGTGTAAGCCCTCTGAGGCCAGGCCCTGTGGCCTAAACACCCTTTATAATCTCTATAGTCTCTCTGGCTCATGGAGAGCGCACAGTATGAATGAAGTCAATAAACGCACTGTCCAGCGACAAAGAATTCGTCTTTGGCAATCTATTTTAACAAGGGGGCCTTGTGGGGACCGCTGCTGGCCTCAACTCTGGCCGGCAATGGAGGGCTTTCTGTTGGGGATGGGTAGCACTACAGCTTCCCCATGAGAGAGGATGGGTAGCCAAGTGGTGAGAAGCCCAGGCAATGGGTTCAGACAGATCCTTGTACAGCCACCTGCCAGCTATATGTGCCCACAGACTAGTCATTTAACCCTTCGGAGCTCTCTTCACGTGGACCACACACACAACAGTCCCGAAAAGCGGTGGTGAGAGCCAATAGGGGTAATGGGCTTAGCACTGGGAAGCAGCTGTTTTATGGGAATCCAGGTTCACACTGGTTTGAAAATTGAGTTAGGAAAGATGAAGGAGAAGGACTTGTCAGCATCTCTGAGCAGACCCTTTGGCGGAGGGAATGTTCACGTGGGGCCGTATCTCTGCCTGGGGGAGGGGATGCAGTGGTACTGCGAGTATTAAGGTATTCATACTTTTTTCGAGTCAAACGCTGCCACACGCGTTCCTTTTGCCCCTCCTACCTTCCATTCCTGATTAATCCCAGGCTTAATTCCAAACATCAGAACCCGGTAGAACAGACTAAATAAAGCGGCCGCTGAGGGAGCTAGCGTCCGTCACCTCCCGCCCGCCGCAGCGCGGATCTCCACGCCCCGCCCCGCCCGCCGCGCCGCTGCGGGCCTCTCTTTGGCCCGCGCCTCGTGACGTCACGCGCGGGTTTTATGGCCGAGTCCCGGGCCCGCGCCGCAGAGGCGGCGGCGGTGGCGGCGAGCTGGGTGCCCTCGGGGACGCTCGCGCGGCTGCTCCGGTGGGTGGCCGGGAAAGGCACCGGGAGAGCGCGGCTGGCGAGAGGTAAAGGGGCTCATGAGGCCGTGCTGAGGCAGCCCCGGCGCAGGGCCTGGGTAGCCGGTGTCGCCGCTCGGAGGAAGGCGCGCAAGGGAGCGTCGCGGGGCGGTGGGCAGGGGGTCGCGGTGTAAGGAGAGGCGTGTCAACGGCTTGGGGACGTGGAGGGTCGGTGGGAGCAGGACTCAATCTCCGGCCTCAGCGTCTGCACCTTGCTCTTAAGTTTGGGGGCGCTGTTTGGCTTCCCCCTTCCTGCGAGGATTCTTGCCTGGGGGAATGAAGGTCGCAGCGTCTGCTTCCCTGCCACAAGCTCAGCGAAGAGGCTCTGGAAGCCAACGTTGCACGGATCGAGCCCTCACCCCTGACCCGAGTGTCCCGGGACCTGGGGGTTTCTCTAGGTCTCATCACCCCACTCAGGACTCCCAGGGAGCGGGCAGCACCTCTGTAACACCTACAGCTACTTAAAGGAATTTAAAAAAGAAGGGTGGCTGATTTAGGAAAGGATCAAGAAGTTGCAAATTTTGTGTTTATTGTTAAACGTTGTCTTTTTCTCCCTTGACCTTTCTCTGTTCAGATAACACAGCTGTGCTCCCGGGGCCTGCAATTTCAAGGCCTCCCTGCCTCTGCTAGGAACCCCGAGACTTGCCATGGGGAACCACTTGACTGAGATGGCGCCCACCGCCTCCTTCTTGCCCCACTTCCAGGCCCTGCATGTCGTGGTCGTTGGGCTGGACTCCGCTGGAAAGACCTCCCTCCTTTACCGCCTCAAGTTCAAGGAGTTTGTCCAGAGTGTCCCCACCAAAGGGTTCAACACCGAGAAGATCCGGGTGCCCTTGGGGGGGTCCCGTGGTATCACCTTCCAAGTGTGGGATGTTGGGGGACAGGAGAAGCTGCGGCCACTGTGGCGCTCCTACACCCGTCGGACAGATGGACTGGTGTTTGTGGTGGATGCTGCTGAGGCCGAGAGGCTGGAGGAGGCCAAGGTGGAACTACACCGAATCAGTCGGGCCTCGGACAACCAGGGTGTGCCGGTACTTGTGCTGGCCAACAAGCAGGACCAGCCTGGGGCCCTGAGCGCAGCTGAGGTGGAGAAGAGGCTGGCAGTCCGAGAGCTGGCGGCTGCCACGCTCACCCACGTGCAGGGCTGCAGCGCTGTGGACGGGCTGGGTCTGCAGCCGGGCCTGGAACGCCTGTACGAGATGATCATCAAGAGGAAAAAGGCGGCCAGGGCAGGCAAGAAGAGACGGTGACCCGAGGATGTTCCCTCCCCACCTAGTAGGGGTCTGCACACTTGGAGAGCCTGGTGGGGCCTGTGACTCAGCCTGGCATGCAGGACCTGCCCACTTTAATGAAGGATGGAGGAGAATGTGGGGGGTCCTTTTTGGTGCCACACTGGGGAGGGAGATGGGATGTCTTTGCACATTTCTCCCTCATCCTCCCCTTGGAGAAGTGGGGGCTGCAGGACTGTGGAGGCTTAAATGTAAACTGTGACTCTACCTCGACCCTGTTTCTCGTATTTCTTCTCTGGCTTTTTAATCAGATGTGTTTTAGGGGGATGGAAGGTGGCTTAGAGAATGCATTTGGGATGAATGAGAACTATTTCCCTTCCCCCAACTGGGGAGTCTCCCAGGCTGCTTTTCTAGGGATGCCAGTCACAATAGTTTTTATTTTTGTGTCTGTGTGAAAGTGCCAAGAACCCCTCCCTACATTCATAGATCCAAGACCCTTTTTATAACTCCTGTGTCCTCTGTATTATTATTGTTATTAACTGTTTTTTAGCATTTGCCTGTAAGTTATTAAAGACTGATGACTCTGTAGTTCTTACCTTGGTTTGGCATTTTCCTTTTTTGCCCCAGGGATAGTCCAAGATTTCTGTATGGGGTGTGGGGAAGACTTATCTCTAAGCTGAATCTGCAAAACAAACACTCTTAGATGGTGTGTTGATGGAATGGCTAGTGAAAATCATGAGGGGGGAGTTAAAAACCCTTCAAACTTTTGCCTGATCTCTGTAGTTTTAGGGGAGGGAAGTCACTTCTCCTTTCTCCGACTTTCCCCCCCTCCACTCATCCTCTGACTCTTGCATCTGATAGCAGCTGCTCCTTGCAGATTTAACTTTGAATTTTGCTGATCTGAGCTACTCCTAGGTCCTTGGCCCTGGAGACACCTCCCAGGTCTACGTGGTAAGTCAGCAAAGAGCCATTCTGTCCCCCTCCATCCCATTTTCCCAGTACTCAGGTTGGTCTGATGAGCATGTGGTAAGAGTGGAAAGTAATTCCTTCTTGGCCTTATGCCACCTCGGTGTGCTCAGTCTTGCTGACTGCAGCTCTGGCAGTGATGGCAGCAGCTGGTGCTGGGAAGGGGCAGGCTAGATTGAGCCAGCCTGGCCCCAGTGACTAAGCCTGAATCTTCCAGCTCTGGGATAGTAGCTACTTTCATGAGATGGGCGGTAGTAGTAGTTTGTGCTTGGTGGCAGTGAAGATTGCTGGACATCTAGCCCCTGGGACAAGAGGAGAAGACATAGGCCCCCAATGTTAGCAGCCATCACAAGAATAAAATGCGAACATTGACAGGGCCTGGGTGCTCCTGGTTAAACTTTCAGGGGTGCCTTCTCCCTACCAGCATCAGGGCCAGCTGTGTCTGATAATGATTAGGTCCTCCTAATCTTTCTGGGTGAGAATAGTGAGTTAAAAAACCAAGCACACTTCTTTCCTGTCCCCCTGCCCTCCAGTCCCACCCCCACCCTTTATGCAAACAGAATTCCCAGAGTAGGCTCAGAGTCCCCTCTGGAATCAGATAAAAGGGAGGGAGAGAAGGTACTGGTAACCCCCCTTGTGGAGGAGGCTTCCTGAGGAACTTGCTGCTTCCTACCCAGGGCCGCCAGAGTTCTGATTTACCCCCCCCCCCCCCCCGCCCCTGTCCCTGTGGCTGACAGGATGGGGGTGGGTGTGCATTGATCCGGAAGGGTGCCCACATGTGCGTCAGTACTGCGGCCTGCTCCACAGAGCTGCTGGGCTGGTTTTGCTGGGGACATGTGCTACCTGGCCGCCCCTCCACACACCTGTGACTCATCTAGTCTTCTGGGGCAGAGTCCTGTAGCCCAGGAACAGGTCGAGGCCCCAGTCCAGGCTGGGAAGGACCTGGCCAGAAAGACCCTCTGTCCCACTGGGAGATCTTTCCTCCCCACCCTACCTCACCCCACCCCAATTCTGGGCTTTTGTCCCAACATCTCCAAAGACATGTTTTCTCTGTTTCTGGTCATCCGAGGCACTAAGGTCTCTGGATTTGTGGGAAAGATGTGCAGAGGTGATACCCTATCTCTAGCAGAAGGGCCTCCAAGGTGCCAGCACCTGGTTCTGGTTCTGGCTCTGGCTCTGCGAAGCACTGTCCCTCCCTGTCTGGTTAGAAGTGGCATCCTCTGCTCCCCCATGCCCCAGCCCCCAGGGCAGCCAGGGATTGTGGTCCACAGGAGGCATGAGACTGTCCCAGGCCTTTCCCCGATCCCTCTGTAGCTGGTGGCCATGGAGGAAAGGGAGCATGGGTGGCAGAGAGATAAGAGACGGGGAAGCCAGTGCTCTGTAGGGGTGGTGGGGTGAGAGGGGCACTGGCAAGTTATGAGTGGAAAGTTGCCAATTGTGAATGGGTGGGAGTTGGGAGCTCTGGAATAATCCTCCTGCCTTGGCCCATCAAAGGGACTGGAGGCTGGGAGGGAGGGGATCACCTTCCTGTCTGTGGCACATTGGTGGGGAGACAGGGCCTCCCACTCTCCAGTCCTGCCCAGGGATTCTGCATTTTGAACTCAGGGCCAAGGGCAAGCAATGGGAATGGGATCGGGGTTGAGGGAGAGGTTGTAGTTTCCTTGTCCCAGCTTCTCTAGTAAGCAAAACTTCTTTCGAGACCCTGATGTGAGTGCTGAGCAGAAAGAAGTTCCCCAGGGGCAAGGAACAGTGGCTGGGGCTGGATGCCTGTGAACTGAAGTGAAGAGAAAGAAACCCGTAGATCCAGAGTTGGGGCTCCCTTCTGAGCTGCCCTTGCCCTGCCAGCCACGAACCCCCTCCCCACTTGCACAGGTTGAAATGTAAAACCCAGATGGGACCCTTCTCTTGAGGGCATGATTGCAGTGGCCCCTGCTTTCCCAGGCCCTCTCCAGTCCTCCCTCTACAGCATGGGCTCAAGGAAGAGAGAAAAGAAAGAGGAAGGAAAGAAGTCCTTAAGGTCCAGAGGGGACAGTGACTTGCCTAAGAACACACAGCTACTTAGTGGTGCATCCAGATCCTTCCTCCCAGGCTGGCTCTTTGCACTTCCAGGCAGGCAACAGGAGGCAGGAGACAGTCCAGCATCTTAGAGCTCTGACTTCTCTCCCTCCCTCTTCCCTCTCCTTGATTAGATTAAGGACCAGCTTTCCTGCTCCCCCATTCTCTTTCCTGAGGAGCGGAGCTTTATCTCCAAAGCTCAGCAGAGCTTCTGGCCTCAAATCTAGCCAGAAGTCCCCACCCTCCTTTCATACCGACCATGTCTCATTCCAAGTGAGATGGACACCTCTGTTGGGGCCTGGGAAGCCCCAAGTACCACCCAAGTGCTAGGAGTGCACAGGACGGCTAGGAGTGCACAGGACGGCCTGTTCCCTAACACAAGCCTGTTTGAATGGGGGCCAGTGGGCAGTGGGAGGGGAGGGGGCGTGAAGGCAGCAAGGGAGGCCCAGGCCAGCAATTGGCTGGAAGGCAGAGCAGTCTGTGGCCACATTTCATTTCCAAGGCCATCTGTTGGGGAGTTTGTGGGCGGATGTCATGGGACCTTCTCCCCGGGGTGAACTGGAAGACGGTAATCCATATTCTGTATTCTTCCTTCCTTTTTTTGTAAAAAATGTAATATTTTACTGTCCCCACCTTGTTACAAAAGTAATACATCTTTATTGTGAAAGAAATCTAAACTCAGAAAATAGAGAAATTCCATAATCTCAACTTCTAACCACTGTGAACAGGTTTTTGTGTATTCTTCCAGAGATTTTTTCTTGGCATATACAAAAAAGGTATGTCTACATAACACCCATGGGACATATTGTTGTACAGTTTTGCTTTTCTCATTTATGTCTTGGACATTATTCAATGCCAGGACATATGGATTTTTCTCATTCTTTTGGATGACCATGTGAGATTCCATTGTATGAACATGCATCATTTATTTTTTATCATTATTTATTTGAGACAGAATCCCACTTTGTTGTCCAGGCTAGAGTGAGTGCCGTGGCGTCAGCCTAGCTCACAGCAACCTCAATCTCCTGGGCTCAAGCAATCCTCCTGCCTCAGCCTCCTGAGTAGCTAGGACTACAGGCATGCACCACCATGCCCGGCTAATTTTTTCTATATATATTAGTTGGCTAATTAATTTCATTCTATTTATAGTAGAGATGGGGTCTCCCTCTTGCTCAGGCTGGTTTTGAACTCCTGACCTCAAGCAATCTACCCGCCTCGGCCTCCCAGAGTGCTAGGATTACAGGCGTGAGCCACCGTGCCTGGCCTGCATCATTTATTAATTAAATCCTCTATTGAATCCACAGCCATGACCCTCCTTGCACATATGGTTTTGTACACTTGAGGAAGATTTCCTGTAAGAAAAATTCCTAGAAATGTCATCGTTGTGTCAAAGGATATATGTATTTAAAGTTTTTATGGATACTGCTAAAGTTTATGTGTTTGTGTAGAAAAGGTTCGGGGGGGGGGGTTAATCATACCTCCTCATCCTCCATCCCCAGATTTCAAGGCCTCTTTGAGCTGAGATGTGTGCATGTGATGGAATAGACATTATAATGTCCTTGCTTTGGGGGAGGCAAGAAATAAAATCACCAGCAAGTTGGCAGAAGATATGCAGGGATGGGGAGTGATCTTGGGCTCACTTTCTAGGCCTGGGGACTGAGTGCCACCCGGGGGCTTCCTGGCTGGTGGCAGAGGTGGGCAGATGGCGAGGACTCCCTAGCACCCAGCTTGTCACAGACGTCAGGCAGAGTGGGTGAAACAAGTCCTGAAAATAGATTCCTGGGACTCGGCTCAGGGAGGGACTAGGCTGAGACTAGGAAAGCATGCTCTGCAGAGAACATGGAGAAGGAAACTTCAGCCCCAAGAAGGGCAGCAGAGGCCCTGGACTTCCCCCAGGGTGATCCCCCACTCCTCTGGTGGGGACCCCTGCCAACTGTATGTAGCTCATGGACTTCTGGAACAGGAAGCAGAAGCCTGAAGTGTCAGATATTTTGGGCAGCCTGGACTGTTTGGGGCTTGACCTCTGCTTAGTTCATTCAGGCTCCCGGGCTAATCCTGGGTATTCTGTGCAGTGGTGGGGAGGTGGGAAGCAGGGAGGCTTATCTTTTCAGCATCCCCCACCCCTTCCTATTAAATCTTGCGAAAATTTCCTTGGAGGAAGGCAGAGGGACAGCAGGGTTTCAAAAGCCTGTTGAGGGCCAAGGTGGGCCGATTATTGGAGCTCAGGAGTTCAAGACCAGCCTGAGCAAGAGTGAGACCCCGTCTCTACTAAAAATGTATAGAAAAAATTAGCCGGGCATGGTGGCACATGCCTATAGTCCCACCTACTTGGGAGGCTGAGGCAGGAGGATCGCTTGAGCCCAGGAGTTTGAGGTTGCTGTGAGCTAGGCTAACGCCATGGCACTCTAGCCTGGGCAACAGAGTGAGAATTTGCCTCAAAAAAAAAAAAAAAAAAAAAAAAAAAAAGCCTGTTGAAAGTGAGGTTTTGTGCTTTTGACTGTGTTTGTTTTTATAAGATTACCCATTGCTTTTGGTTCCAGATGCCTCCCTTATCCTTAGGGGGAGAGAAGGCAG